ATATAATAGTCTATTTTGTTTAGTTTTTTCTGTTTCCTTCCGTTAAATTTTCCCAAGTAAAAATAAAATTAATTAGAATTTAGTTGCAAATTTGTTATTTAAAAATCTATATTTATATATTATTTATATTATAAATTATACAGTACAGAAGTAAACAGAACTATAATACTATAATAAAGGGATGCGGTATGGTATAAGGGTATTAAAAGTAGGGATGAGGTGTAATATAAGGGTATTAAAAGTAGGGATGTGGGTAAAAGTTAATCGAAGCATACAACAGAAAAAGGAACTTTTAAAAAGAATCAGCAGGTGTAAGGGGGAGGAAAACTTAACAGAAAACAAGACCACGTGTTCAACAGGAGGAGGGAGAGAGAGAGAGAGAGAGAAGACGGCAGCGCCACTGAAACTACACTCCATCAGTAGTGACTGCGATTGGACAGCGTGCTCCGGAGACGCAATCAGTGCTTCTACATTGGACCGAAACACCCGTAACATCGCGGGAACACCGGCAAACAGCCGTATTATAACAATGTATTGTACGGCAAGCGGTCAGGAATATTATCAACGGCAGGATAGTCCAGCAACTGTATCTGCAGTGACCCACGGAGGCATTCCGATGCAGACAGGTGGATATCACCCCACTGGACTTTACAGGTGAGGCACCTCTTCCCTTTTAACACGTAAATTTATAAATTATCATAACTGTTAATGTACATCCTCCCGTTATAGTGTATTCTATATAACAATACAATAGTTAACGTTTAAAGGTATAACTATTAATCCCTTGTAAAAATAAGTAAAATAATAATAAAAATACCTTCTTCCAATTTGTTCTGCTATCATTTTGGTCCAATTAAATATATATTTTTTCGTTATATACTTAAATAGTGATTTTTTAAATAAATTATTTAAGTGTAATTAAACGGAAGAATTCTTCCCGGATTTATAAGTAATATAGGCCTACACGTTACCCTTAAAAAATATTAACTTTAAAACTGTAAAATTTACTTTAAAAATTTATATTATTCGCTTATATCATTTACTTAAAACTATTATTTATTACTTTTATTTTAAGTAATTTTATGAAGTTGTTTAAACTAAAATTCCTACAAACTTAATTTTTTAAACTGGAAACGTGTTTGTTGAATAATTAAGTTCATTTTAAATTCTGTTTAAAACGTACATTTTTAAATTGGGATTATCATTTAAATATAGTTTATTATCTATATAAAACTATAATTATTTTGCCTTAATTATAATTAATTTATCTTATATAAATTATGAAAGACTGTAACAGCGAATAATACAAAAATTAAGAATTTAAGGCGTTTATGTATAGTACAGTAATTTATAATTAATTAAAAAGCTATAGAACAGTTTTCATGTATATCTCTGTGTTATTCATATATTTTAAATATAAATTTAATGAAAAAACTATTAAAAATTCAAGTAGACTTTTACACCTCCCCTCTAATCACAGACAAAGCATTGTTAACCTTTGTTACTTTTTAACATATTAATAAGCAAAATGCAGTTTCTCCATACACGTTAGTCTTTATTTATATATAAATATTCATTATTCATATTCATATGATGATAAGGCTTCCCTATACAGGTGATGATAGTTTATATCTTTAACCACAGAGGTCGCTAGCATAGCAATAAAGGTCTTATATTTAGTCTAGTGTTTCTAATCTTATAATTTATATAATTTTTGGTATTAAGCCAGATTTATGGATGTTAGAAAAGAAAATTCTGATTTATATTGTCCATTTTCTATATATTTTTGCTTCAAAATATAACAACATAATAAAATAACTCTTACTTGTTTACACTATTTAACTGATCCTCATTGTGCTCTTGTATTAAGCAACACACTAAAAGAAGGTGGGTTTAGAACCGATTCGTTTCTAAATTTTAAATGTAAAAAAATTAAATTCAGATTCAAAATAATCAAAATCTTGTTTCTTAATTAAATTCTTTAATTGTTTTTAAACTTAAAACATTTCAGATTTTATTCTTGTATCACATCTGTGACGTCAAAAGTTTGCAGTTTTATACTCTTAAACGTCATTTATGTATCGATTTTAAAATCTATATTCAAATATTGTAATAATTTAGTGTATTTTATTTTAAAAATTTGTTTATTTGAAGCGTTTTTAAATACATACAATAAAGAAATTCTCATACAAAAACACTAAGTAATAAAGACTTTTTTAGGTTTACTTAGTGTTAATCTTTAGAAAAATACAATAGTGGCTTCTTTATAAAGCTGTAAATACGTTTACCTTTATTTAAATTTTTTTTAAAAAATGTATATAAATATAAATGAAACGTTAATCTTTCCTTCAATTTAAAGGGGCAATTGGAAACCTCATAAATCTTACACGCAAAAAACGCATTTTTGTCCTAGACAAACCCAAATTACATCGACGACAATCAAATCCTCTAGTCATCCAGATAGGTCAGTTAAGTTGAACGACTAAAAAGAGATGCGTAGTCAAGGTTTTGAGGCCAGATATTCTGGTTCCTCAATAAAGGCATTCCTGTGCATGGGTGACCATTCAACAACAACAACACAACAACAACAATATACCAAAAAAAAAAAAAGCCTGGTAGCTTTGATGTTAGTGGTAAATCTTTCAAGAAAGAACATTTGGATAACTTATGTACCTACTTAAGATATTTCTTTTATCGCATTCTTAGTGTTTCTTATTGTTGAGCTTGGCCTATATAGAATGATGTTTTTCATGACAGACTAAACTTAATTATCTCTGGTAATAACCTAGAATATAATAGTCTATTTTGTTTAGTTTACAGCCACTGAAACTACACTCCATCAGTAGTGACTGCGATTGGACAGCGTGCTCCGGAGACGCAATCAGTGCTTCTACATTGGACCGAAACACCCGTAACATCGCGGGAACACCGGCAAACAGCCGTATTATAACAATGTATTGTACGGCAAGCGGTCAGGAATATTATCAACGGCAGGATAGTCCAGCAACTGTATCTGCAGTGACCCACGGAGGCATTCCGATGCAGACAGGTGGATATCACCCCACTGGACTTTACAGGTGAGGCACCTCTTCCCTTTTAACACGTAAATTTATAAATTATCATAACTGTTAATGTACATCCTCCCGTTATAGTGTATTCTATATAACAATACAATAGTTAACGTTTAAAGGTATAACTATTAATCCCTTGTAAAAATAAGTAAAATAATAATAAAAATACCTTCTTCCAATTTGTTCTGCTATCATTTTGGTCCAATTAAATATATATTTTTTCGTTATATACTTAAATAGTGATTTTTTAAATAAATTATTTAAGTGTAATTAAACGGAAGAATTCTTCCCGGATTTATAAGTAATATAGGCCTACACGTTACCCTTAAAAAATATTAACTTTAAAACTGTAAAATTTACTTTAAAAATTTATATTATTCGCTTATATCATTTACTTAAAACTATTATTTATTACTTTTATTTTAAGTAATTTTATGAAGTTGTTTAAACTAAAATTCCTACAAACTTAATTTTTTAAACTGGAAACGTGTTTGTTGAATAATTAAGTTCATTTTAAATTCTGTTTAAAACGTACATTTTTAAATTGGGATTATCATTTAAATATAGTTTATTATCTATATAAAACTATAATTATTTTGCTTTAATTATAATTAATTTATCTTATATAAATTATGAAAGACTGTAACAGCGAATAATACAAAAATTAAGAATTTAAGGCGTTTATGTATAGTACAGTACTTCTATAATTAATTAAAAAGCTATAGAACAGTTTTAATGTATATCCCTGTGTTATTCATATATTTTAAATATAAATTTAATGAAAAAACTATTAAAAATTCAAGTAGACTTTTACACCTCCCCTCTAATCACAGACAAAGCATTGTTAACCTTTGTTACTTTTTAACATATTAATAAGCAAAATGCAGTTTCTCCATACACGTTAGTCTTTATTTATATATAAATATTCATTATTCATTTTCATATGATGATAAGGCTTCCCTATACAGGTGATGATAGTTTATATCTTTAACCACAGAGGTCGCTAGCATAGCAATAAAGGTCTTATATTTAGTCTAGTGTTTCTAATCTTATAATTTATATAATTTTTGGTATTAAGCCAGATTTATGGATGTTAGAAAAGAAAATTCTGATTTATATTGTCCATTTTCTATATATTTTTGCTTCAAAATATAACAACATAATAAAATAACTCTTACTTGTTTACACTATTTAACTGATCCTCATTGTGCTCTTGTATTAAGCAACACACTAAAAGAAGGTGGGTTTAGAACCGATTCGTTTCTAAATTTTAAATGTAAAAAAATTAAATTCAGATTCAAAATAATCAAAATCTTGTTTCTTAATTAAATTCTTTAATTGTTTTTAAACTTAAAACATTTCAGATTTTATTCTTGTATCACATCTGTGACGTCAAAAGTTTGCAGTTTTATACTCTTAAACGTCATTTATGTATCGATTTTAAAATCTATATTCAAATATTGTAATAATTTAGTGTATTTTATTTTAAAAATTTGTTTATTTGAAGCGTTTTTAAATACATACAATAAAGAAATTCTCATACAAAAACACTAAGTAATAAAGACTTTTTTAGGTTTACTTAGTGTTAATCTTTAGAAAAATACAATAGTGGCTTCTTTATAAAGCTGTAAATACGTTTACCTTTATTTAAATTTTTTTTAAAAAATGTATATAAATATAAATGAAACGTTAATCTTTCCTTCAATTTAAAGGGGCAATTGGAAACCTCATAAATCTTACACGCAAAAAACGCATTTTTGTCCTAGACAAACCCAAATTACATCGACGACAATCAAATCCTCTAGTCATCCAGATAGGTCAGTTAAGTTGAACGACTAAAAAGAGATGCGTAGTCAAGGTTTTGAGGCCAGATATTCTGGTTCCTCAATAAAGGCATTCCTGTGCATGGGTGACCATTCAACAACAACAACACAACAACAACAATATACCAAAAAAAAAAAAAGCCTGGTAGCTTTGATGTTAGTGGTAAATCTTTCAAGAAAGAACATTTGGATAACTTATGTACCTACTTAAGATATTTCTTTTATCGCATTCTTAGTGTTTCTTATTGTTGAGCTTGGCCTATATAGAATGATGTTTTTCATGACAGACTAAACTTAATTATCTCTGGTAATAACCTAGAATATAATAGTCTATTTTGTTTAGTTTACATATATAATATATATATATATACTCAGCTATTATATCTTTAAACAGAAGTATACAAGTAAGTTTTTAACTTACTTACTTGAACTATTACTATTAATGAATCAAGAAAAAAGTTTTTAACTTACTTCTTTTCTTGATTCATTAATCAGTGGGTGCTTCTAGGTTAAGTGCTCAACGTAAAATAAATTAATATGTTTTTACGTTCATACAAGAATCTCTGTGTTTGAATTATATCATTAAATTGTCTGTTTTCCTGTTATAATATATATATTTATTTAATATTTTTGTAGCCTTAAAATTTGTGTTATTTTATGCATTAATTGAGTATTTTGACACCGCATAATTGTATTTAAATATGACTTAAATACAATTAAAATTTTCTTTGAAAATATATAATTTGATATGCTAGGGTTTAATCCTTAACTTAAACTGCATTAATTTAATTTTACTTACTTCAGACAGTTTTATTTTTATATTCTTTCCCGTATCTTGTTTATCAAATTCCATTAATCCAAAACAAAAGTAGGATCATGTTGAATTAATGACTAAATTATCTCATATCGATCTCCACTTAGTACTTAGACTGGTTTTACAAAGCTTGTCCAATTAATTTAGAAAACATTTGAATTAAATATGTTTAACCTGTTTAAATATGATATATTATACTAGTCAGATCAAACTATCTTATTATCGTGTCTAAGGAAGCAACCCTTTAATTGTTATAGATCCTGTGTGTATGTTATAATGCGTGGGTTTGGCATTATTTCCAAATATACTTATGTTTGTTAATGATTCTATTAACTAGTTAAGGGGTACAGACGATGAGAAAGACAACTGTTTAAGTGTCTCAACTTATTACGTTTAACGGTATAACTTCGAGTAACACTTAAAAGTCACGTCTTACTTTAAACACTAGTTTTTCGGTCATTCACACAGGAGTAGTGTCGAAGTTCTCGACACATGAGCTTAGCTTTGCTTCAGTAGTTTGTTAGGCAATTAGTTTAGAGACTAGAAATTATCATTTTGCTTTCGTGTTATTTAGTTTTTAAACACTATAACGAGTGGGGGACATTATTATATATTAGAGCTTACACTGTCAATTAACGCCTAGGTGGGCCAATTTTCTTCCTGCTAAAGATCTTTATCTGATTTATTAGTTGAGTGAAATTTATTTTCCACACTCAATATATATTTTGGTGTAGACAGAATATTCATTTTTTGGGAGGGTTGTTGTTGGTGGTGTCTAAAAATTATGCTAATTTGCATATTTAGTATGTAAGTTATTAACTTTTATACATTATTATACATAATAAATTTAATTTACATGATTTTTTATCACGTTAAAAAAATGCCTTTGAGCTAATTACATGAGAGAATTTTAAGTTTAATTTGTTTTAAAGGTTTTTTAAATGTTACATTAAATTATACTTAAATTATACAATATAAACGTATTTAAAAGAATAAATTGAATATTATTAAATAAAATATCATAAAATTAATAAATTGCACATTTTTTACATTGTTGAAGTCGATTAATTTCAAATTTAATTGCCATTTTGCTAAGATTTTACGTGTTTAATTAATAAATAAGTAAAATTTTAACTATTAAATTAAGCTTAATTAAACTAAATCAAATTAACTGAATTAAAAAATAAATTATAATTAAGTCAAAAATATTTTCTACTTTAAAACTTTTTATGAGATAAATGAGAGAAAACGGTTGTTCAATAAAATCCAAGGTATTGCAAAATATTGAAAGATACGACCAATCAAATGTCTTGTATTTTAACGCCTCATAATAACACCATTGAAGAATAATATACGTGATTTTAGTTCAGCCCCCTTACCCTGACCAATCCAGTTTTCAATGTCGCTCTTTACGTCACAATCGTTTCACAATCATCGATTGACATTTTACGATGATTATTGTCTTGCAAAAAATAAAAAATAAAAATTATCATAACAGTAAATGTGCCAATAATTTATTTATGAGATAAATTGTTATTTGGAGTGTGATAAAAAAAATAATAAAAATAACACTTATTTTTTCTGGTGCACACAAATATACATATTATTATAAGTAATAAAAAAAATAGATTTTTATCTTATAATTATTACAAGATTTTTACATGTATACTTTAAATATTTTTTATTTATACATATTTTTTTCTAGTATTTCCTCTTTAATAATTCATAAGATATATTATATAATTTTAAATTTTGAACATAGAATTTTAATTTATATAGCAAACAAGCCTTTAAGATAAATAAAATATGTGTAATAGAATACAGAAAATTTAATTATGTTCAAGCTTCATCTTTGAAGAGAATTCTTCTTTCATTATTTAACATTATAATCTTTTAATTTATATTTTTAATCCTGAATCCTTGAAGATAATTCACACTCGAAGGTTCTTATAACTTTTATTGGGTATAATTGTGATATAATATCTTTATATACTTAAAATTTTAGTATTGAGAGACTCAAATTTTAGTTTCCTGGTAAGTAAACTCTCTTATGTATCAAAGTTTTAACAGGAGAAACCATGGGAATCTTCACTCTTGATGATAATCTAGAGAAGGTTAAGGAAATCCGAGCATCATAAGTAGTAGAACAAGGAACATATTATCATTCCTGTACACGGGTGATAATATGTATCTTTCTCTCGACAGATGACTATATGCTGTTAATCATTATACTAACCAAAACTGGATTCATCACTTTTTTTCCTCATTGCTATAGGTGACAGCTCTTCTTGTTTCATACAAGAANTTTATGAATAAAAATTTGACAAACTATTTATCGTTTTATGACGAGTAAAATTTTTTCGTCGCGT